TGGGTGCGGATTTGTGCCTCGGGCTCTGCTGCGGGAGAGGAGCGGCGATGGCGGAGATGCCTCTGGGGTCCAACGTGCCCCTCTGAGACGCGTTCGCGCCTGTCCCTGTCGCGACATATCGCGTGCATTGACTTTACAGCCATCCTCCTCCTCCTGTGCTTCGCAGGCTGACGCAGGTGCGATGGAGTCGCTACAACCCCAGCTTCTTGGAGCCAGAAGTGAACAAGGAGTTGTATCAGAAGCCTTGGGAGGAGCTGTCTGAGGAGGAAAAGGAAAAAATGGAGCTTACGCGTTCGCGCCTGTCCCTGTCGCGACATATCGCGTGCATTGACTTTACAGCCATCCTCCTCCTCCTGTGCTTCGCAGGCTGACGCAGGTGCGATGGAGTCGCTACAACCCCAGCTTCTTGGAGCCAGAAGTGAACAAGGAGTTGTATCAGAAGCCTTGGGAGGAGCTGTCTGAGGAGGAAAAGGAAAAAATGGAGCTTAAGGCTGTTCGACCCATAAAAGCTGCTCCTCCCACGCTCTGCAGCTCCGTGTTCAGCGACCCTATGATCAGGTCAGAGCAAGCAGCGTGTCCTCCTCCGTTACAGCCAGGTCCCATGGAGCCAAAACGCAGGGCAGCCACACTGTGCTCCCCAGCCTTCGCTTGCTGCGCGGCACGTTGCCTCTGTCACCGCCCAGTCCCTTCATTCTGCGTTCATCTTCTCCCACGAAGCCAGTCCATTGACTGGCAGTGATTAGAGATAATTACAGCAGATCTAGCAGCACCCAGACTTAACCATGGAACAACACATGGAGGGGTGGGTTATGTCAGTGGTTGATAAAATCAGAATTTAAATCAGATTACATTTCGCTTTGTGTTTACAGTAAATTCACCAATATGATGATGAAGGATGGAAATAAAGTGCTGGCCAGAAGCCTCATGGCTCAGGTGAGAACTCATGTTTCTTCTCACTATTATGTTAAAACGATACAAAATGGAAGGCTGGGACGTCAAACCCGCTGCAGTTAGGAATTACCAGAACTCAGGTCGTCTCTGCAGTCCCAGTGCACACACAATACTCTCACCATCGTTCATCTGATCAGACATACATTTTGTACAAGCCCCAGCCTCATTCGTGTCCCAGACCAGGTGGTGATAGCTTAAAGGAGAACGTTCTCTTTCCGCTCTTCAGTGTCTCTTGGACCTGATGTAGAATCATAGAATCATTCAGGGTGGAAAAGACCCTTAAGATCGAGTCCAGCAGGTAACCTAGCACTAGCAAGTCCACCACTAAACCATAAACTCAGAATATACCCTTAAAAGCATAATTTTCTCAAAAGATCTTCCTTCCACTCTCTTCCACGCCGTACCTTCTGTGTAACTTGCCAGTGAAGTCCCACAAACGCGTCACCTGTGTGACACAGCTTTGACCCCTGCACTGACATGCAGTCCTTGGTATTAGCTGGTGGTCACATCTGGTGTGCTCCAGCCCTCGAAACGGGAACATGCGTTGCCCAGATGTTCCCCAGGTAGCTGCTGATTCTTTGTGACAGAAAAACCCGCAGATTTTCAGCTCTTGAGTCCAGGCTTTGGACAGGACGATGCTTAATGCACACAGACCCGTATTGCTGTCTCCGCTTTGTCCCTGGCTCTGCTCTGTGCTGCTTGGCCTCCTTGCCCCAAATGCAATGGCCAATAAAGATTCTGAAGAGCTGGAAGAGGGTGAAGTAAAACTTAAAGAGAAGGCCTGTTGCCTACAGGGCTGGAAAACCAGCTGCAAGCTCAAGTGAAAATGGGGTGCTTGTGAAAGTGATGTAACTCCATGGAGTGGGGTAATCCATCTGCTCTGCATGTCTCCTTGCTTGTCTTTGTCCCAAGACTCTAGAGGCCATTAAGAGGAAGCAGCTGGAGAAGTACCACAAAGCTCCAGAAGATGAGAAGGAGACAATTGAATGCAACCCTTACGTCATCTTCCACCAGGCTCTGAAAAACTGCCAGCCCATCATCGGGCTCAGCAGCATCACAAAAGGAGGCAAAACCTACCAGGTGAGGGGGGGGGGCACAGCCTGAGAGCGCATCTGCTCAGGAGAGAATTAGCTAGGGAAGCAGATGCACTGGTTCCCACCCCTTCAGCTCAAGCTTTCCCCTCCTCAGAAGGAGAGCCACTTTGCAGTCTGGATTAAAACAGCACCTAGAAACCCTGTCCGAGGTCGGGCCCCCAGCCTGTGAGCATGGTGATTCCCCTGTCAGCAGGGGTCTTGGCTTCCCTGGCTAGATAAGAGCAGTGTCCCAGGAGACAGAGGTGAGCGACGGGCAGCAAAAGAATTGGCAATCCCAGGACTACCAGTCCCATCCTCTCTGCTGCATCGTGGTGCTTGAGTAGGGGTCCCAAAGCGCTGGGGCAGGTCAGCGTAGCAGGAAAGGTCAACCAGATACAGCGTGGTATTTAAAACATGAGCTAAACCTGGCCTTGAGCGTGGGCTCTGCAGCACTCGAGACCTGTTGGAGAAATGACGTGGGGAGGCATTTCTGTGTCATTCAGCGCAGGGGAGCGGTGACCATCTCCGGCTTCTGCTAGCACAGAGCAGCCTGGATCCCATTCCCAAACAGGCCAGAAGTCCTTACAAAGGCCAGCATCTGCCAGCAGTACCCAAGGCTGATCAGAATTTCCATTCTGGTAGCAATGGCCGGTTTCTGTGGACAGACGAGGTGAATTGGCCCAGATCGGCTGTTGGAGCTGGTCTTACTGGAGCTACCACTGGAGTTGCAGCATGTGGTAAATCTGCATGTGTCCAGCTGGACCAGTATGACTGCTGGAGAAGAGGAGGTTACTGCACCCTCGCAGTGCCCTAACTGTTACGCTTTAAACCTTTCCCAGGTCCCGGTCCCTCTGACGGACAATCGGAAGCGCTTTCTGGCCATGAAGTGGTTAATCACCGAGTGCAGGGAGAACAAGAACTGTCGGATGCTGATGCCCGAGAAGCTCTCCCAGGAGCTGCTCCAGGCCTTCAACAACGAAGGGCCCATCATCAAGAAGAAGCAGGTGCTGCACAAGATGGCAGAGGCCAACCGGGCTTACGCCCACTTCCGCTGGTGGTAGGGACTCCGTGCATGGACACGATGCCACCAGCCCCGGGGCCGCCTACCTGGGAGAAGCTGGGGAGAAGGGGAAAAGTGGAAGATCCCTCCCAGACAGCTTCTGAACTAAGCCAGGGACAGCCCGTCCGATCACCACAAAGTTCATTTCCTTTGTGCTTGTTCAGATGGGGGAAGGGGGAATTGAACGAGTTACCGACCCCTGCACGGATGCTCCAGTTATTTCATAATCACTTTCCTGCGAAGAGAAGCCTGAGATGTTTTTCTTAGAGTGATGCTGTACAAAATAATCTTCCACTTACCTGTTTCCTGGGGGCTTTTAAGTCTCTCTGCTCCTGTAATCAGCAATGGTTTTGGGTGCACAGCTAAGAGCAGAGCTGGATTTTTTCCCGTACCATAACCAGCCTTAGTGTGATGGGTACAAAAGGCAATAAAAGGCCCTTTTTGATTTTTGGTTCTCGTCATCAGAAACATTGTCTGCACAGATCTGATGGGAATGGTAATAGAAAAAATAAAACCAGTTTTATGGGGAAGGTTTCTCGATACCAAACCTTTGTCTCTGTTGCTTGAATCTCACACTGTTCTTTCCAGCTACCCTGGCTGTGTAAAGCCACACTGACACCCCACACTAGAGGAGAAAACTAACATCACGGCCTTAATGCTTCCGTCAGGAACAACTTCTAAGTATTGCTCAAAGCTCAGTAGCTGCATAGAGAGAAAGCAGGGCACGTGTTAGTGGAAAACTTTTATTAGAAAAAACCTTCAATAGACTATTTAATTTCCTTCCTCTCCCATTCTTAACAGAAACATATTGTAGTTAAAACTCACTAAATTCTGAAAAAACATAACAGTTATTGTATAAAACCTGTTCCTAGCTACATGTGCTCAGGGACCTGTCCTGCTGCAAGCTGCCCTGTGGCAGGGATGGGGGCTGGTGACCCGTGGGGGAGGCTGCGTGCATGCAGGCGCAGCCAGCGTGCTGGAAGGCGCCTGGGAAAAAGAGCACTTGGTTGAGCTGCTTGTGAGGCCACCGTGTTTTCTGTGGCTTGTCCCAGAGGACCAGGTACAGCCTGAGCTGGGAAGGATTTCCCCTCTGCCTCCCGCCTGCGTGCATGCAGGCGCAGCCAGCGTGCTGGAAGGCGCCTGGGAAAAAGAGCACTTGGTTGAGCTGCTTGTGAGGCCACCGTGTTTTCTGTGGATTGTCCCAGAGGACCAGGTACAGCCTGAGCTGGGAAGGATTTCCCCTCTGCCTCCTGCCGCTCCGCTGGCTCTCGGGGAACCAAAACGCTCGCAGCCTAAACTGTGCTTGCCTTAACACCCATATAAAATGCTGGTTTGAGCCAGAAGCCTTCCTGGCCCTTTGCTGGCAGCAGCCCAACATTAGACCAAATCAGTGGGAGAACTTGCGGGGTTAAATACGCCCTAGCCTTGCCACCTCTCCAAAGCCCCTACGGTTACGTGCCCTGAGGCTCTAGCCAGTATAAATCCTATTTGCAGCAAGTGCTAGAAAAACATTAACGTGAAAAGAAATTCAAACTTGGTGTGAAGCTTGCTGGTGAAAGTGCTGGGGACATCTCTCCACCTCTGCTGTGGAGAGGTCAATCTGTCACTTCGCTGTAATAGTATTTCTGGGCAGCGTCCGTCATCTTCCAGTCGGCAGCCCGAAACTCGATGATCTCCAGCAGCAGGAGCTGGGACAGGGAGCTGAGCCCCTCCTGCAGGAGGAAGCCATCTCGGAGGAGGGAGAAGAGCTCATCCATCCGCGGGGAGTTCATCTTCTCCAGCTGCTCGCCGATGCGATGGAGCTGCAGGACCAGGCAGTCCACCTTCAGAAGGAAGAGAAGATGGCTCAGCACAAAGGAACACAGAGGTCTGGTGCACCTCTGGGGAGGTCCCCATCAGTCACTCATGGACCAGCTCATCCTGTTGCCTCCGTTCCGGATTTCCAACAGGCGATGGTTCTGCTTCCCCCGGTTGCTGCGACAGGAGGCAGGAGAGGCGGAATGTCTCTTCTGGCAAAGCACATCCTGAGCTCCCCTGTCTCCGAGACAAAACTGCCAGAGAAATGCACCCGCAGCAGGTGGAAAAAACGTTGATTTCCTGCAGGATATCCAAGAGATGGTGGCAAGGCTGAAGCCGAGGCCAGAGCAAGGAGGTGCCTCCAAGAACAGAGGGAAGTGCCTGGAACACACACTAAAGCTCTTAGAAAGTCCGGTGATTTGCAGGAAACACGACCACTAAGTGGGTCTTTGGAGAAGAGGGGAAAGTCGATGGGCTGCAGGGGTGGGAGGGCTGTGCTAAGATGAAGAACAACCCAAAGGGCCCATCCGAGGGCCCCTACGTTCACCGGAACCGCTCGCCCGAGGGGCGGCTCGGCCATGCCCCACGCAGGTTGCTGCACGCCCAGACGTGTGCGAAGCTCCGGCTCCAGCAGAGCCTTCTCCAGCCCACTGGGTCTTGCCGTCACCTCCCACCGCTGCGGTGCCGCGGCAGGGAGCACCACAGCCGCTTTTCCAGATGTCCGGCAACCAGAGCTGCTGGAAAAGCAGCCGGTTCCTGTGAAAACGGGATAGTCGCTGTTTTTTCCTCAGATGATGGGAGGTGAACCCACGTAACACAGCACAGTCCCTGCTTCGAGGGACAGCCGGGCTGCTGGATCTCCGGTGATGACATTTGGGCAAGAGGGACAGAAGCTGCCCCAAGGGAGGACGCGCAGCCTGGGCATGGGAGTCACAACCAGCACCTCCACCCTGCTTCCTCCTGGGCTGCAAAGCCCCCTGCCCGGTGGGTCTCCTCCCAGCACACACCTCCACCCTCTGCGTCCTTTGAAGCAAGGGAAGTTCCATCTGAGCACAAGGAAGAACTTCTTCCCTCTGAGGGTGACGGAGCCCTGGCCCAGGCTGCCCAGGGAGGTTGTGGAGTCTCCTTCTCTGGAGATATTCGAGCCCCGCCTGGACACGGTGCTGTGCAGCCTGCTCTGGGTGACCCTGCTTGGGCAGGGGGTTGGGCTGGGTGACCCCCAGAGGTCCCTTCCCACCCCAAAA